TGCATGATCAACGATTCACGTCGAGGCATGTGGCAAACAGAATCCTGTTGCACGCTGTAACAAACTAAAACTTACACACATTAACATGGACCTCGGACCTGCGCACAAGGTTTGTCCCGGATTTCACACCGAAACAGTGGTTGCTGACTTATCATTTTGTAAGCATCACAAATTCGGCAATATTTGAAATAACAACGTTTTGCTCTACAATATTACCTGTTAAGCGTGCAATGATGTGGCATCGAAGATCTGGGGAAACTGTTAAAAACAATAACCTTGGCATATATCCTTGATTTATTCTTACTTCCCATACTTAACTGAAGACATCGGTGGTTCAGTCGGTCAAGCGCCGCGGGATGGTGGGATAGCCGAGTGGTTCGATTCCCCACATGCCTATAATTGTTAGTATTATAATAATATTATACTGACATTTGTATAGCGCCAATATCCAGCTCATTTGCTCAAATGCGCTTTGACTTTCCCTCGATCACTGGATGTCAAACTCAAACGGCACATCGTATTAACAATCTCAACCTCCTGGGGACCATACAAATCTTGCAGCCATTAGGCGCACCGAGTTCATGTGGCTTTCCCATCCTTACAAGGTACCCATTCACAGCTCGGTGAACTGGGACACATAGTCGCATTACTTTTACAATGACATTGTGTGAAGCCCATTTCTGGTGTCCCCAGCCATGATATTGCTGGCATATTGCTAAAAGCGGCGTAAAAACTAAACTCACGGACTCTAAGGCGCACTCAACTGTTCCTTGGGCACGCTAGAACCCTATGGTTGAGAGGTCGACTTCCGGTTGGCCCCGATTATGTTTCCGGGTTTGTCGTCACCCCCTTGATTGTGAGTTTCACCGACGTCGTTAACATCTGAGCCACGCACCACTGAGGGCTGCCATCCCACATGCCGTCATATAACTGTAATACTGATCTTTGAAGGGCATTCAGAAGTGGAATGCATAAGAAAAGCAAGATTTATGGATGTCAATTTCTTTATTGTGAATAACACGACGTTTCGGAGTGTATGCTTGCTCCTTCAGACTTACACACACGGCCTCAAACCCAACTCCCTCACTCCCGATAAACTATGTGCAGATAAAGTGAGTGAATGCTCTTGAACACCTCAGAAATATTTAACCAATGTCACGGCATTCTGTAAATGATCGACTCTGGGCCAGGAAGCGCGGTGGCACTAGGACCCTCAACCATCTGGTCAAGAGGACAAGCCAACAACAATCAAGTCAGCCGCTCCATCATCTTTAATCGACTGTTACGATAAACAAGGATCTGCAACCCAATAGTCGCCACAAGGCACTTGGAGATTAAGCCGACATCTTAATCAGTGACACCAACTGATTGTGCATGGTGGAGGGATCATGTTCTGTCATGAAGATAATCATACAGAATTGAACATTTTACTTGCATTGATTAAATGCATCGAAGATTTGCTCCTAACGGTTAGCTCGATATGCTCCTAAAGGTTAGCATGGGATTCAAGTATGTCTCATCTTTGCCAACGTTTTCAACGTATTTGTGTTACAATATATGAATTACCTTACTGCACTAAAACAATATTGGGTACCCAGTACGCCGTTGGAGGGATTACATTAAGGTCAGCTGATCAGTTGGTATGACGTATTGCTGGTCATGCTTTCAGCCACTGGTTTGTGCGTTCCAGGTTCGATATTACTGGAATATTGCTTCACCCACCTAACATGAGCGACGTGAATGTTTTACCGACGCTGATGTAGATTCGTATGAACAAATATACCATTGGGGATTTTAGACCAATATCCAGTTCTCATTCTGATGGGGGTTGGTTGGCCGATTTCGTGTCATCGGTTCGGTGGATTGGTTTTGATTTGTTCATCCAGTCACCGGTTTATCTGATCCACATTGGATGTGGTTTGGTTCTGATTTGTTCATCCAGTCACCAGTTTATCTGATCTTGGATGTGGATGCCTTCATCCAGTCTGATCCATATTCGCTTGTCTACAAAAAATACCCCTAATATCATTGTGTCATTAAACAACATGCACTCACTCTTGCAGAACTGTCAGATTAGACGGATGCGGGGAGACAAAGGCCCTTGATGGTGCCCCATGTGTGGTCTCAGACATAATCGCTTATAAAGAGCGGTCTCAGACACAATCGCTTATAAACACAAATGGTGACCCCCCTCCGTCTTACATAATCACTCTTAAACCGTGAACGTGGGCGAGCGTAGGGATGGGAACAAAAGCTCGACTCCCAGTTGTGTGGGTGTATTATATAAGTCAGCTTCCATAATCCCCATCCATACACTTTTACCTCACCCCCTTCCCTGATGTAATTCACAAGTTCCATTGTATTGGACTAAACCTCCTCGTAGGTCGGGACAAGCGGAGTTTTAATAGTGTGTAAATTGTTTTCGCATATCAAAGCAGTGGCCACGATTCTCAAGTGATAACTCTCCACCACCACTCCTGAGATGTGAGCGCGCACGTATTTGTGTCTGTGTGTGTCTGTTTGTCTGCCCTGATTGACCGAATGCCGGTCTACACCAATTTCTTGCTATTAAAGGACGGTGGGGTAGCCTAGTGGTTAAAGCCTCTGCCTGTCACGCCGAAGACCCGGGTTCGATTCCCCACATGGGTACAATGAGTGAAGCCCATTTCTGGTGTCCCTGTCGTGATATTGCTGGAATATAGCTAAAAGCAGCGTAAGCCTAAACTCACACACTCACTCTTGCTGTTAACCACTATGTCACAATGTGTGCCTGTACGACTGAATGCCGAGATCGTTACCATCAACCAACGGTATGCCTTGACATTATATGACTGCGGCATAAAATAACATTTACTTCCATTTGAAGCCCTGACACAGCTGTCACGCCAAAACAAATGTCTTCATTTGCGACCAATATCTCTTGCAGCTGGCTGATCTAGTCAGTTGTAAGAACTGATCTGTATGCCTGACTTCTGGCAGTATCTCCCACAGTTGCTATCTAGAGATGTAAATCCGATCCACTGATGATTGAAACCAAAGACATGAGTCATCCGGCGTTCAGATCCTCTCGTATAACGTTTGAATATATCTGAAATTATCAGATTGCAGTGTTATTATGATCTATCCATGGATGCAAAACCAACTCAATCATTCATGCTTGTATGTTTTTATTCTTTTGACCTACTGTGCGCATTGGCTCTAGATTTATGTGAACTACATTTAAGTAAGTCACTACATGTGACCCGCATCCGATCAATTTGAATACGCCTTCATCAAATCTGTAACGACACCTGACACTCGTCATGTGAACCATAATGAGGACGGAGTCGTTGTCGTGTGTTACCGGAACGGCAATGTTGTTTGCTTGCTCCATAGGGAGGTCTACAGTGGCTCAGTGGCTAGAGTGAGTGAGTGAGTGACTTTAGTTTTAAGCCAAACTCAGCAATATTCCAGCTATATGGCGGCGGTCTGTAGATAATCGAGTCTGGACCAGTCAATCCAGCGATCAACAGCATGAGCATCGATCTGCGCAATTGGGAACCGATGACATGTGTCAACCAAGCCAGCGAGCCTGACCACCCGATCCTGTAAGTCGCTTCTTACGACAAGCATGGGTTACTGAAGATTCAATCTAACCCGGACCTTCAAGGGTCTCAGTGGCTAGAGTGTCCGTCTAAAGAGCGAAGGTCGTTAATTCCATCCCCGGCTGCATTATACCACAGTAAGTTAGACCACGGTACTTGTTGTTACCCTGCCTGGGGAGGGTGTGTGTGTGTGTGTGTCAAAACAAGGGCTGGTCGGAACTTTACGGATCCGTATACTGCGTTTTAGTAGGGGAGACCATGTTGAACGTCAGCTATGTAACACAATGGGTTGGCATTATTAAACCGGTTTAACGATCTTCTAGTGAGGGAGTATGGTTTTACGCCGCTTTTAGATATATTCCAGCAATATCAAGGCGGGGGACACCAGAAATGGGCTTCACATATTGTACTCATGTGGGGATCGAACCCGCGTCACAGGAGTGATGAGCGAACGCTTTAACCACTCGACTACCTCACTGCCCCTAACAATCTTCTAACTAGGTAAAAGTTGAAAGGTTGGTTGATGAGCTTTTTCAGTGTTAGCGTGTAACTTGATGTGTATAATAAATCACCGAACACTATTTTCCTGAAATATGAAGTAAAATGTATTTTTCTCCTGACTTGCATATTGGCAGTTCAGTTTCTAATATTTTAAGCATAACCACGAACCATTTCTAAATTATTCACTGTCTGTGGGTGCACTCTTTCGGCAAGCACTTGTTCAGACTTTATTTTTATTCATCGGTTTCAGGCTCCCTCTAGACGTGGCAGAGCAAGCAGATAGGAGATTTAATGTCCAGGAGACATTCTCCACAATCAATATACTGCCATACCAAATTGGGATTCATTCCCTCATTTTGTTAAAAGACAAATTGGATCCCGCGTAGGGTTTGGCAGGACTGTAGTTTTGGATATTTTCGGGCTCATCGTTTTAGATTTACATTCAATCATTGTCCTCCTAAATCCTCCCAATCCAATTTTCCAGGGGTTTCGCTGGGTCTCATTTCAATTGCCCGTTCGGTCCTCAGACCACGACTGGGCCTCCCACGGACTGGGTTCTTTGTGCACTCTGCATTGGCTGACTGCATCGGTAATTCGTCAACTGCTTTGTCGATCCTTGTAGCTCCGAGTCTACAGAACCAGCATGTTTCTTGTTTCATGTGCCGTGTTCTTGCGAATTTCGTAATTTCTTTTTGGATATGACGGATCGATACATGGACAAGAGAGCAAGATAATTGGGTCTATTACCCCTTATCCCCAGGGTAAAACAGGTTTTATATCGAGGGGGTTGCACGCAACCACTCACAGCAGAGACAAGCCGACCTGCTACCACAAAGGTGGTCTTCAGCGTATATAAGTATTCCTTCGAGAGTGACCATGTCATTGCAGTGCTTTTGGACGCGTAGAATGTCTGATCTTTAATGGACCTGTGTTTGGAGAAATGTCAGAATATATACGTGTTTTTCACAATGTATCTGCTTTGTGGTCTTCATAATGGCAGAATAATGCAGATTATTGGGCCACTACAGGCAGCTCTTTACGGATTTACACACGTAAGTTGGTTGTAAAGAACACTCTGTTGCTATAACAACCACCTTCTGGACATGTAAGCGAGACTGGATCCACAATCTCTCAGGCCTGACTGCCAATATGTACCTGAAACTCGTGAAACCTCGGCATCTAGTTTGAATTATCCATTAAGGAATGTCGCCAAGGGTTCATTTCCACTCGTGGCATGGATACTTACAAATGGGAGACAAAAAATTGAATCTGTGATCTTCATTTGAATCGTCACCACAGGATTATCGCCCTTTAATATTGAATCATTATCGCCTTCAGTGGAATATTGTATAAACGAAAGTGACACCCTCATCAAAGTCAGCGGGGGCATTTATAGTACGGACACACGACTGGAGCCAAAAAACAACGCTTGTGGTTATTCCACGATTCTATTACTGTAGGCGACTCATTCGATCAACATCACTCCTTCATCTGAGCAATTGTCGACAAACCTTGTCTTTTATTCATGCGTCTTGGTGTATTGGGCAACGTTGTCTTTGATCGTGACCGATGAAACAGTTTTGTCTCTACAACAGGCACCTGCCATATTGAGAGAGCTCATCGAGTGTTTTTGAGATTTAATCAAGACTGTGTCTCTTAGAAAAGGATTCGTCCTTGAACTATGAAGGTTTAGAGACGAAAGATCACAGATCGTTAATCTTCTGTTAAATTAACAAGAACTGTGAAACGTATTGGACTAAACGATCGACATGATTCAACCAAAGACGTTGGCATCTCATGCTTTTGATAATAACTCTTGCAGTAGAAGCTGCCCTGTCCTATTCACCAAGCCATTATATGGATGGTTTCTAATGGCGATGAATATTTCTATACTTTAGAGACTGTTGTGTCAGTGACTTGTGTGAAAAAGGGACAAATTCTGTGATATTGTACTGTGACAACATACCGCGTGATATTTGTGCAACGACATCGTTTTCACCTCATACGTCATGGGGACGAAACACATCAACCACAACACACATCTGGTAGGTGTTTTTAATTGATAACCAATATGTCAGATTTGTGATAATAGCTTCGCTTGCTGCCATCCTTAGAAATGTTATTGAATTATTTCATTTTTTCCATAGAACGCCCTGTTTGTTATAGTTGTCGATTTTCCCTCTTTGTTGACTAATGTCCTTTCGTGGTTTGAGGGGCGAGTTTATGGATTTATTATAGATGTTAAGTGCGAAATAGTTTTTAAAAATCCTCCAAGCTCGAAAAGAGTTACCAAGATTCAGAACTCATACTACATATCCCCTAATACGTAATGTATTAGATAGATAAATGATTCCTGACGTTTACAGCAACGATTTCTTTTCGATAGGTGTACAGTGTAATGGGCGTATTTAGAAAATAACCAATAGCACTGCTGATAATATTATCAATACACCTCTACATCACCCTTATTTATTATTACCTTGAAGATTATTATTTTCCACTCCCTGGGAAGTATACATACAGGGCATGTCTGTAAGTCACTAAACGGTTAACAGTGACATTACCATCTCATCCTACCGGGTTCCCATTCACTGCAGGACTGAAGCCTTGGAAACTCTCAGGACAGCAAACAAATAAACAAACACAGCAGAGAAGCCTATACCACTCAGCCCCTTCTCCTAAGTAAATTGGAGATTTGTACTTTGTACTGGAGATTTTAATCAAGGTTGTGGGGTAACCTAGTGGTTATTGCGTTCGCTCGCCACACCGTAAACCCGGGTTCGACTCCCAGCATAAGTACAATGTGTAAGCCCATTTTCTGTCTTCCCTGCCGTGATTTGCTGGAATATTGCTAAAGGCGACGTGAAATTAACTCACTCACTTACTAATGCAATTTCTGTTTCGTAACAGTACATAGGCAGCACGTAAGACGTGATACGATATCGGCATAAAATGTCTAGGGGATGACGCCCTTAACTCAAATTGCTTTATTGTGAAGTTAAACAATATTATTCTCTTTTTCTTCTATTTTATGTAAAAAAAACAACTTTTTTAGCTTACGTAATTAGATCCGGTATACATTGTAAGAAGATACAAACTGGTTCATGCACGACATGTCCATATCTGTGTTAATGTGTTGTTAATAATACTTTTGATGCTGTGTCGGCTATAGATTAATTATCATCAAGTCGAGATGAAGCCGCGGGGAATACATTAAATCAAAATAGAATATCAGTAACATATGGATATCAGAATCGTGAATTTCCCTGACGTAGGTAACACGCATAAAAATGATCGGATTCAGTGTGTCAAAGATCTAAACATTTGGGTGTTAAAGTAATTGGAAAACATTTAGGCAAGGAAATTATTTATATAAGGCCGAAACATATTTCTGTAACCTGCTAATTCCTAAACCAACGCGGCAGTGAGTCTGGTTAAATGCTACTGTGGGCATAATTTCAGTTATACCGCGTTGTGTCAGCTTGATTTGGATGGAAAAGGTATCATTCTTATCAATATTGTGAAAGCCACAACACATCCAAAATTACAATCGAGGCGACGCTGAGATTCCTATCCGTTAGTCCCAAGTCCCGTAACTCTATGCACGGCGCCCTGGTCGACAAAGCCATTATGCCTGTTTAAATCTGTATCTTCAATTTGTCAACCAATAAAAACCAATATCTAAATGCTGCCGCGTTGTCGACTTTGCTTGGTAAAAAGCACACACAATAAATTCTATTTTACCTAAAAATTATCAGTGACATTTTTACATGGACATATTAAAGGAAGTCATTTCTTTAGTTAGAGCATATGTATTGGTTTCATGGGTTAAAATATATTAAAGGCCAGTGTTGACGTCAGTACTCTATATCAGAACCAATAAACTGAGAACATACCTCCAACAGACAGTGACAATGAGGATTAGATAATACTCTAAAGATTACTTAGGCATACGTAGCAAGCAAACTGTTTGAATTCAGCTGGAAGGGATGATGGATGACACAATTATACCTGTGTAATTAGTTTGTAACCAAACCAAGTTTTTACTCGGTAATATCGATTATTCGCAACATATTGCGTGCTACCAGCATCAGATGAAATGTACACGATTCTGACACATTTCATATGCCGTGTACAGTCTATAGTTAGAAGCAGCCTCTATTGTCAGCCTGCTCTGTCGAGTTGTTCCACCAAGCATCTATTCAGCACTACATCACGTTCACGTATTGATGCTCGTTTGCGTTGCTCACAACTTAACGAAGGGTATCATGCTGTCACTGTTCATTTGGAAATTAAACACTCCGATCTTGTATCAACCCGACAATTATTTCGATCAGCCAAACGGAAAGACAATAGCGCCATCGTTGCTTAAGATTCTGACGAGAGCGGACACGTGCGTCGTATACACGTAAGAGCTGTTATCGTCAGACTGGGCTCATTGGCATGCCATCATTTTCGTAATAGTGCCCCTTTAACATTCGCAGACAGACTGACGTATTATTAAAGACTAGTAATTTATTGGCATAATTAAAAGGTTCCATGTCGACAATTAACGAGACACGTGTCGGACCACCGTGTAAAAGTGATGTAACGTTTTAATTTGAAACTGACACGATGTCAAAATGTCAGACGTAGCGACTTGGCTTTGTAGACCGTAACAACCGCTTTCTCAAATCATAGCAACTGGTTTGGAACCAAGAGTGTATCCAGTACTTTATTGTTATTGCTTGACTTCATCTCCCTGTAGAAGCGTGCACGCCATGTAAGAGCAAGGTTCATAGTGAGCATTTTACGGAAGTACTTTTAAACACAACGTACAGAATGACACGAGGAAAACGAGCATATTAAACGTAAAAGGAACCTGTGAGATTCAATTGGATACACGACGATTATTCGGTGCTGACTGGATCAAAGACGGTGTTCTTTTTCATGACTGATTAAGATCCTCGTGTCTGTTATAGGAATCTGCCTTTGTTATGCTTAGACCCGAACTGGCAATACGTATTATCATTGACAGAGTTTTAACGTAGTTTTAACTGTGGAACTGGTGTGTTGATTAAAGCAAAACAAATATACCTTTTCATTTTTATATCTAGTTGAATACTTAATTATTCAGTATTTCAACCTTAATCTGAAATATATTATTTTATACTATTTAGTACAGAAAAAGTCCTTGAATGCTTACAAGCTCAAATAAGGTACCCTTTAAGTGGGGTTACCACGTCTACCAATAAATGACAAGTACAGTATGCGAGGGTCACATACAGATTAACTGTGGTAATATGAAAGATTCGGGTGGTCTTTAACTTCTGAAGTGTTCCGTTGAAGGGTCAGATGTTTTTCGGAGTCAGCTGAAAGTCAGCGTGTCTCAATGTCCTCTGATATAATTTAAAAACATAACAGATCGTCCAAGATATTTTATGGATTAAACTTCTTTTTTAATTTAATCCATAAAAATATCTTGGACATCAATGTACAACTTCTAAATGCCACTGAAAGACATAACAGATTGTATCTGTTCACTGTGTCACACTTCGATTTTAGACGGGATTACAAGCAAATCAAAGAAACTAAAGCTATTTTAAGCAATCATTTGGCTGTATCCGAGTTATATATTAAGATAATGATGTCAGTCCGTCATCAGATCCCTCATAGCGTAGCCTAGTATTGATTTAGCAGTTCGTTTCTGTCATACGTCATTACATTAAGGCATAATAGTTTACTGAGGAATAGAAACACGATCAGCCATGAATTATTTAGACAATTAAATCACGAAAGACAGAACAAATGATCCTACTTTGTAGACATAAGCATTGATGTGGGAAATGAAAAAATGGCTGCAATTATCTCAGAGAAACGGAAATAAGCGTGGCCTCTGTTCAGTTGGTTATGATAATGAGCGAGAATGAACTCAAAGGGAGTTGCTTTTATCGCGAAGCTATTATAACATGTAGCCTTCGGTTACGTGTTAATTAGCGCATGCAAAACAATTTGTGAAAAATGGAGACGGTTCGCAGCTTCTCGAAAACTTCAAAAATGTCTATGAAAGCTTTATGCACTGAGGTCTAATTATCTGTGATCGGAACCACAATGAACAGCTGTGATTTCTGGCTAGGTTGTGTCTGATCCGTGTAACATCAGGCACTTATATGTAATATTACTTTAAAAGTAATGGTCTTCGTAACAATGAATTATACCATGAGTGCATATAGGTTTCTGCAGCTTTTAGCATTGTGTACCCGATATGACCCATTTAATCGGCTTCACACATTGTAACCAGTTGGTAACCCGAGTCCAGTGCCTCCTTTCACAAAGCACTTAGGTGATCGCACGTCACTAAGGTAATATCAGTGCAGTGTTAAAAAATGGGATTTGAGGTTAACCTTCGTAAAGGTTGCTTCGTGAAAGGAGACTCAGCTCTTAATATAACGATCGAACGCCTTAGACAAATCACTTTATTTACAATTACCCCGTATTTTTATGGGTGATTATGATTGATGATGACCCAATGGCGTTTCGTTCTTTTATTATTCATATCAATGTTGATTTGAACTTGACATACGAATACGTTTTCAAGTAACCTCATTACCCCTAACTCACCCCCCAAAAAAAAACAACAAAAAAAACCCCATTAAAATAAAAAAAACCAGTGTAATAAATGTTCAACGAAATATTGCCATACCTTCTCGTTTTTTTCAGTACATATTTTGTTGGATATCGATATACCAACATATCGGATCGAGCCCACCTGTGACCGGGTGTAAAAACCTTAGAGTCAACTTTGTGTGCAGACTCTTTCAGTGTTGTCACAACCCCTAGTGTACAGTACACAACCCTGTGCACCTTAAAGAACCCACGAATCCGTTGGTATATGACAAGGTGGTGGCCACATGAATACGTACAAACACCTAGTTGCAGGTACAGCAACTTGCAGTAAATTTGGGCAAAGTACTGTGACTATGTGTCCCAGTCCACCCAGCTGTGAATGGGTACCTCGTAAGGATGAGAAAGCCGCAAGGTGCGCCTAGTGGCTGCACGAATTGTATGCTCCCCGGAGACTTGAGATTGATAATACGATGTACCGTTGAGATTGACATCCAATGATCGAGGGGAAAAATACCAGCGCCTTGAGCATGTACTAGTTGCGTGGATATGTGCTCTATATAAATATCATATAATAATATAATAATAGTATCGATCATCAATATTGTTTCTATTTTTCAGTTTGCTGACGACGATGATGATTACGGCGTCTACGCCATCTCCGCTGTGTCGTTCCCTTCTCACATAAGAAAGCTTCTCCCAGCTTCCGAAAACCACATGTTGGAATACATGGCGCTCGAACGCGCCCGACGTCGGCTCCGTAACGTTATCATTGCTCTCGCAGTCTTCGCCATATGCGCAACGTTGCTGTCCGTATCCCTCGTCTTCGGCTTCCAGCGGAGAGAAGACGACGTACCTACACAGGTATGGAAAGACGCCCCTATTTGTACCACCAGCGATCTAAACGCTAAAGTGGTCTTTAAGATAGACTTACGACTGTCGTAGCGTTAGGGGTGCTTTGTACAACGGCACCCAATAGTGAGTGAGTTTGTGAGTGTTTCATTTCTCGGCGTCTTTAAGGCATTTGAACTCGATGTTTTAGGATCGTCTGGAAAAAAACAACACTTCCTATCGTGCATACATGTGAAAAACACGTATTATTCAAATATTTAGTTGTGACTAACACTATAATTCTTTTACAGAGTATTTGTGCCTTGATATGCTTCAGATGACAGCGTTTATGCACAGAATTTTACCAAATACAGTTTATCATAGAACCCCCGGAACCTGGATTCTGTACCTTTCCACATATCCTTAACGTCTTTGCTTAAATATCATATTGCATAATGTGTACGATGCTAACACGTCAGGTAAGCGAACATGACCTGTGCAAATAACATAAAAGGCAGTTTACAATACATGTACACATCAGAAAATCACATTTGGGCTCTATTTTAATGCGGCCAAAGATATCTGCTCACATAATTATGTTGTCTTCTCTCATCATTTTCAGACCCCTTCCCAGCCAAAGCTAACTTGGGAGACATCTAAACTCCAGACAGTGATTACTCGCCTCAACTCCTCACAGGATCATTCTAGTCATGCAGCGAAACCCCCTTCCTATGTCGTGGGTAAGTAAAGCAGAAATAGCCGCTTTCAGTAAAAATCCATACTCCATTCAGACCGGAATTGTCTGTTGTTTAGCGCCCCAGTCAGCAATATCCAAGCAAGGGCAAGGTGTCCTGTACATACACGATGCTGATCCAGACGAATTCAGCCCACGTCGCCGTTTAGTGATGATGGTGCGGTGGGGTAGCCTAGTGGTTAAAGCGTTCGCTCGTCACGCCGAAGACCCGGGTTAGATTCCCACATGGGTTCAATATGTGAAACCCATTACTGGTGTCCCCCGCCATGATATTGCTTGAATATTGCTAAAAGCGGCGTAAAACTATACCTACTCATACTACTCGCATAGTGATGCACGATGAACAAAGACAGTCTGGAGCTACTACAATCATTAGGTACAGGGGTCTTATTGTGGCGTGGTATCTCGGTACCCACCCCTAACACACGTCACGGTCACACATTTCCTCACCAACTCTACCCCTCCAAACACCCACGGTCACAAGATATACACCATCCGAACGAAACGTCACTACATGGACAAGGCTGGGATTTATATATAACTATAGAATTGATCAAATCTAAACCGACAGTACATCGTAATAATGAGTCGGGCTCTAGATATATAACGAGATATCTCAGGCAAGGTTTAATTCGGAAATATGATTATAATAACATTTATCAATTTCTGTAAATTTACAAATGAAAATCTTGGTTATATATACTTTCAAATTGTTTATTCCTACAATGTAAGGATCCTATTGAAATGAACAGGGGTATATCCAGTTTTTAATGCTGTTAGATGTTAATTACATACCTGTACGATACCCGATATGATACATTTATCTTGGAATATGAGAGTTATATATTAATTACGTTAAACAGAGGAATTGTTAATGTAATTCGTAAAGTTATGTTTTCTTCATGTTACAGTATCAGTTTATCATTATATCATGTTGAACACGGGTTTTGTACAATGGTTTCTGGTGGGACCAAATAAAGTATCCTTAAATTTAACAAGAGACAGGAATTCATGTAGGCACTTAAGACAAACGACGTCACATGAACCCCTCTATAACATACCCTGTCCTTACTTTCAGCCAATATTCCTGCTTATATAGTCAAGAGCCGTACCCGGTGCGTCAAGAAATGTTGGGCGTACTCAGCATTCCGGTTTCGAGCCTCCTGCCACGACGGTTACTGCATCTGCAACGCTGACAACTACGACTCGCTCACCTGTCTACGTAAGTATACCTGGTTATTACCTATCTATGGATCTTCAGTATTTAGCAGGTATTATCATGTACCAATGAATGTTCAGTATTTAGCAGGTATTATCATGTACCAATGAATGTTCAGTATTATCATGTATTTAGCAGGTAATGAATGTTCAGTATTTAGCAGGTATACCTGGTTATCATGTACCAATGAATGTTCAGTATTTAGCAGGTATTATCATGTACCAATGAATGTTCAGTATTTAGCAGGTATTATCATGTACCAATGAATGTTCAGTATTTAGCAGGTATTATCATGTACCAATGAATGTTCAGTATTTAGCAGGTATTATCATGTACCAATGAATGTTCAGTATTTAGCAGGAGTTATCACAGGTCGTAACTTTACGTACTCTTTGTGGATCGGAATCCTGATGTTGTTGGTGTCGTCCTGTGCCGGAAATCAGTCAGTATGGGTTCGAATCCCGGTTTGATCTGGTAGTGGTCTGTCAGCACTATTCGTGGGTTTCACCGAATGGTAAAACTCTGTGCATAAGTTCGGGATTTTCTCCCACATTATGCAGAAACGCCATGAACTGGAATACCGTTGACAGCAGCGTTAAAACAAATCCATTTACCCAACTTTAATAAAACTGACTGAAATGACGTACGTTTAGAAACTGGGCCCAAGTTCACAAACTGATCACACCTCTATGACTACCTGTACTACATGTTAACTATAAAAATAGGTATTTGTTGAGTTCTTTGTTCAACGACTCCGTCCTCGCTCCGATATAATTGATTATAATAATTAGGACATACATGAGAAATGAATTGAAATAGCATGCAGCATGCAGCCATATTTACACTCTTAATGACAGCAATCACTACAAATTGGCCTATTCATGACGATGGCAGATTTGAAGAGCCTTTCATACAACCTGCTTCACTGTAGCGTGAGACATTGAATATTTCATGACCAACGGTAAATACCCACAATATTACTTCCTGATTTTCATTCAATTATTAACGAGCAATTATCTCTTTACAGCGGCTGTCGATACATGCAATATTCGGAAGAACGGGAAGTCGAAAGCAGTTGCTGTTTTGAAAGGCACACAACAAAAGGTGTTCGGTTGTCAGTCGGACGTCGACACGGAAAGTGCCGATCTTCATGTATTAAGCATCTTCGGCAATCATCGTTCCCTTTCGACGACAGTGGAAGTTAGCCGAAATTCATCCAAGCCAGCTGTCCTGGCTCTAGTCAATTATCACCCGGTCACGTGGAAAATTAGGATAAAGCCAAATGTTAATCTTCAAAAAGTAATTTTGGTGAGTATATTTATCAGTTATGGTTTACAACTCAAAGCAATCAAAATTGACGAAAAATCACGACTTTTAGTATGCGTCGGCTGTTGGGGGTGAATGAGTATGATTTTATGCCGCGTTTTATCAATATAGAAACATTCCTGCATTATCACGGCGGGGGACACCAGATAAGGACTTCACACATTATACAAGTATTTGGCATTGACCCTTGTCTTTACATGACGAGCAAACGCCTTAACCACTAGGCTACCCCACCTCGGGAAATTTGAAAAACATGTTTTATTGGCAACGGAATAATGACACACTGGATTTAAAAATCGAGCCAATACATCAGAAACATTTACCTTCTTCGCCCTTGAGGAGCCGGTTAGAATTAGTCTTCAGCAACCCTTGCTTATAAGAGGCCACTGGCGGGATAGGTTTATCTGGCATGCTGACTATCCCAACTGCGTAGGTCGATGCTCATGATGTTGATCACTGGAGTGTCTGGTCCAGACTCGGAATATTTACAGACCGCCGCCATATAGCTGGAATAGTGCTGAGTTTGGCGTTAAACTACAAACAAAGTTACCCTTTTCAACCTAACTAAAAACGTTCACTTACTCTTGCCTTTGTTTCTGCAGGTATCGTACAACCATTTAGTACATACGTCGGTCCTCTTTGATTTCTTGAGGAACACGAGTACCCCCAAGTCCTCCGCCTCTACTCTCAGACAGGGTACGGTGAAGACAGGTACGGGGGACACACACCCCTACTCATCAACAATATTCAAAGGGAGTTCGGGAAATTCAAGTCCTTCTCGGGAACATCCCATGCGGACGAGTGGTTTCTCGACCTATCCTGAACAATAACAGTGCATCAGTGAAGCCAAGTTGACGTGCATGTGTGACGGTGTGAAAGTGCGACACAGATTTGTTGTGTTGAAAAGTCCGTGTGGACCTGTAGGAGACGGACCTATGTACACGCGCTAGGGCTGTGTCAAAGGCATAGCCTTTCATATGATAAATCAGTTGTGGATGTCGTGATGATTCTTTGAAGAGAGAAGATTCCTATTATCTGGGCTGAATTGACGTTAACGAGATGTACGTGTATCAGCGAATCTTTTTTCGTTTTTGCTTTGATGTATTCTTGAGCAGGATTTGGCGCCCGAAGCTACCGCTCTCAGACTGTTTATTGATGAACTTTCAGGGTAATGAATCGGACTAAGGTCTGATAACCATACACTATATACGATAACTTTAGCATCTAGTCTGAACTTTCATGCACAGGAAAGAACGTACAATGAACCTTTTCAACCCGTCTGAATGAACTCATAAGGACTAAGACGTGTTTTAGATGTGTAATGGCATTAACTGTCTCCTCCTCCTGTTCGTCCCGGACGAGAGTCTTCAGAAAGATCTGTTTACAGATCTTAACAATGTGCTTATGTGATCGGAATATGACCTGTAATGTAAAATATGTTGGATATCAACTTGTGGTTAGAATAATGTGGTTGTACTCAGATTGTTTTTCTGGTTTTCATATTGACAGTGCATCAGATTCTCTGATCATTCAGTCTGTTTATTCTCTTTGGGGATCCGAACAGGGTATACCCCCAGACATGTGGAAATTTTGTTGAATTTGTGGAAAAAGAAAATGACCAATTCGTCAGTATGGCTGTATAGTTTTTAAACCAAACCTTTGCCTTTCGGATATATTCATGTGAATTGACGTGAGGTATTCAAACTACCCGAAGGATTATCGGAGTAGTCTTTGATTGCAAAGTTTGGTTGACACTGTTTATTTGGAAAGGTAAACAAACAGTATCATACAGACCCAAAACAATTACACAGCTGTAGCAACAATTTTTAAAAAAACTATCCAACTAGTTTGTCAATTATAACCAGCATGGTTGAATGATTGCTTGAAATGGAGTAAAATATCGATAAAATAGCAACAATGTTTCATTTAAACACCAGCCGACCTGTTTTCCGCCGGACTGGTAACAGCTTCAACGAACGTGTTTTGCAATGTTATTTATAGCTAAAAACATTTTTCCGCATGACCATTTTTAGGTCGTTGTACATACATGAATATAACTACTCATGTTATTGATGAAGTCTGTTATTGGAAGCCTCGGTGGCTGAGCGGTCTAGGCGTCTGACTTTGTGTGCTGGCGATTAGGTGCCTGCATGACTCTTAGGGTGTGGGTTCGAATCCCGGATGGGACTCAACCTAAAAAAAAGTACTAGAATCTGTACTTTGCAAAGTAAGTGTATTCCCAAATATAACATATGTTGCAAGTCTGTTATTGTATGAGTATGCCTCGTTTATTTAAAACAAGAATGCACCCCCAAACGTTTCCTGTCCTATGGTTGTTGTTTAATTAGGCTTTAATTAATGCAGTGTTAATTCTTTAATGGCTATAAAAGGTCATAGATATATTGATATTCATAGATTTAACAGTAAATGAAGCAGATATCAGATATTTCATCCAGTTGTATCAAATTACGTCGAGTATCTTTGCATAAAGGGGACTAGATTATTGCTTCAAACTGCATTTTCTGAATTTTGATTCAGATGCGGGAGGAAAACCATGTCTACTTTTTAGACAAGCCAAGCGATGAATATATATTTATATTGAGAGATACAGGTGGAAGAAATTGTGTTCTTTTTGACATTTTTCAAATTATTCCTAATCAGGATACCCTTCTTGACAGTGTTTCTGACGAGACATTCTGATAGAATTATAATGGCTGTATATGTCCACTATTACTTTGCTAGTATTAGTACGAATGAAATGCTGTGATGAAGTGAGAGATTGATGATGGTATATGAAGTAATGATGGCATTTTGAAGTTGTTGTTTTCACGAGCAGCTGCCTTTTGCAGCCAAGTGGAAATGCACGCATACAATAACACATATGTAACCGCGTTAGAAAGTAAGCTACGCTTGAAGACATTTTGATAGTCTGTATATTTATGACACTTTATGAAACAAAATGATAACATTTTTACAGTTATGACACAAAATACATTTGTTATTCCGAATAGTTAGTAAGCTGATATAATTCTGCTCTGAACAGTAGGGGTGGGGTGGGGGTGGTCCGTAGATATAGGTGTCATTGGTGAAACCCGCGAACACGGGTATGGTAGGGACATACCAAGGGTCCTAAACAAGCCATAGTCTGCAGATATCCTGGTACTGGTAAGGGAGACAACTTCACGCAAGGAATTACATTGACTCAGACAACTGCTCCAAACTGAGCGATATACATTGAAACTGTCACTTTTACCCCTCGCCGTATTGGAAAAAAACTAAAGTAGTGATTTGTTGATATATATAAAATTCAGTAAACTCTGATTAAGATACAGTCATAGAGGTAAAATAGGAGCCAGAAGAGAATATTGATTATTCAAATCCTGCTATAAAATAGTCATTTATGTCTGTAAAATGTCATTGTCGATTCCATTAACAAGGTGTCCAAACATTTGTTATTCTGTCTGGTATGGGGCGGCGGGGTAGCTCAGTGGTTAAAGCGTTCGTACGTTACGCCGAAGACCCGGGTTCGATTCCCCACAATGTGTGAAACCTATTCCTGATATTGCTGGAATATTGCTAAAAGCGGCGTAAAACCATACTCACTCACTCTATCTGGTATACCAGTCGTCTAAAGCTCCTCAATTCGCTTCTGTGTGCCGTGATCAGATAACGTGAGTTTGAATCCCATACTCACCCTAATTGTAATTATTGGTTTGTCAGCACCATGCTCGTGGGTGACCAGCATCACGATGTCCTCACACATCACGAGGGTAACCTAGTGGTTAAGCCATTCACTTGTCACGCCTAAGACCCGGGTTCGATTCCCCAGATGGGTACAATGTGTGAATCCCATTTCTGGTATCCCCCGCCGTGGTATTGCTTGAACATTGCTAAATGCGGCGTAAAACTAAACTCACTCACACATCACTTAGAATTTGAAACACTGTTGTACTCGTGACATTTTCCGAACTACAGACAATCAGTGGTAGCTGGATCTAAGAGCCATCCTATTGCTATCATTTCATGTCCTATGTTCCGGCGTCAACGAGACTTCGTCGACAGATGAAGTTGCCACGTTGCTGATGCTGCTACTGTTCTGCTGCCATAAACGTTTGTAAGCTTCAATGGCGAACTGCTATCAATGGCTTTCAATGGTCCAATCAATCGGAATTTCATTTTCCTTATATTCAAACTTTATTAAATTTCTCCGATGGCAACAACTGAAGCTGTGTAAAGCTCACAGGATTCATTCCGATGGTAAAAATATGGGCGACAGAAATATACTTTCTCAGGCGCTTGTCTTAGTGGAAGGATTAAATTGTGTTCATCCATTTTGATCTGGAAAGTGGGCGGGGGTGTCACTGATTTTGTACATAACATGCAGGGGTTCACTTAATTTGAACATCAATTATGGAGGGGGGTCATATTTCTCCATAAAATCATCATCCCATCCCACCCCCCTACCCCCGGCCATAAATTATGCACGGTCCCTTAGCCCTATTAAGAACCATCGTTTTTGTTTGCAGTTGCTTACGTGTATTCTTGTAAATCTACTTCACCAGCCGGCGCAAGTGTGGCATTCAAACTAGCAATACGTTTTGTTTCTGAATAATAACCTTTTTGTTAATGCTATTTATAACTGAAACATCTCGCATAGCTGATTTCAACAATCTTTGCGTTTTACAAGATAATAGACGATAATACTCACTAATGATAGACACTGTCTCATCCAAACATCTCAGGTGGCGTCATCACTCATTGAACCTATCCATAATAGGGGCCATACTGTCTCGACCACCGGCCCCGAGCATGGATCAGTTATCTAGTCAGTTCATATTCCATCTAGAAGCTAAGTTTAACACTCATTTTCGTTTCATCATTAATTTAAGTATTCGAGGTTTTGTACAAACCCGCATTTTTCAGAAAATTGATGCTTCTTCAATTGTGTTGTGTATTTATATATTTCCCTATAGCCTTAAGAATAAACATATTATAACCGCACGTGATATTGCATTGTTTTTAAGTTACCATGGAAACAACTGTCTTATTACGGAAACATTATTGGAGTCGTTGGCTCGAAATGTTTGACGTAATGAAGACGTCAGTCCGTATTTTTTTATATTACTCTCAGTTTTCAATATATATATCTGCTGAAAAGCCTTTTGAAATATGCTGATCTATTAAATCCACCTGAATACCACACACTTCATAAATGTATACTTTGAAAGAAGTCTTCTTCTGTGCACACCGTGTCTGGACAAATAGGTCGCGAAAAATCTGGCAGCGTAAAGAAGCCCTGCTTAAAATATGCCTTAAATGGGGCTGTTTCGTTTGTGGGTATTGCCGGAGACACATGACGGGACTACTGGGGTGTGACGTCATGTTATTTCACGGTTAATAAATGTGAAAACCTTTTGTTCACATTTTACACTTCACTTTCCGAACTTTCCTCGATCTGTTAAGGCTGTTAGATTCCGCATTGTGCCTAACTGTGCTTTTAATGGGTGGAATTACCACCTGCTCTGACACACTTCCCGCAACCGGCCCAGGCCCCAGAACCACGACTATCCCAAATCACGCTTACCCAAGCTCACATTCGACCAGACCCCAACCTCACTGCCATCTTCACCCTACCTCACATACACCCCCATCCCACACTAACCCCACTTTAAAACCATGCGACACCATCCCAGAGCCACTCAAACACTGCCTCACCCCCACCACTTATCCTGCCTGACAATCATGACCAATCGCCATCTCACAACTATACCCTGGAATATTGCTAAACTCACTCACTCACTCTCTCACTAAAGAGCTATACCCAACTAAAACCCACAGGGACATCCTGTCCGAAATCACAACCTCTCCTGACATCAACCCACCTCACACTCACCATTGCCCCGACTCACACCCACACGGATTTCATCTCCTGCTCTTCATCGATCCCACCCCCAGCTACCGCCGACTCTGCCTCACACACACACACCTGCCCCCTCCTTCACTCTGACTACACCTCACAACTACCTTGACCCCACCTCCCGTGCACCACCGACCCATCTCACTCCCATCACCTATCACACTTCACTCGCATCACCCGGACTCCACCTCGCACCAACCTCTGGCCCCACCTCACAACTATCTTGACCCCACCTCCCGTGCACCACCGACCCATCTCACTCCCATCACCTATCACACTTCACTCGCATCACCCGGACCCCACCTCGCACCAACCTCTGGCCCCACCTCTCAACTACCTTGACCCCACCTCCCGTGCACCACCGACCCATCTCACTCCCATCACCTATCACACTTCACTCGCATCACCCAGATTCTAATTCATACCAACTTCTGGCCACACCTCACAATCACTCCGAACCCAACCTCACACCCACCCCGACCCCATTCTTCAAAACACTGGGGAGGGTCCGATTGAGCGTATACGGCAAAGAACAAGATATATTCTTGGTTTCAGTTTGACCAAACCTTTTTAAAAAAATCGTCATGAAACTTCTTCATATCCATGCGTTTCGTTACACCCGAATGTTTGCACTGTAGAGTTAAGACTGAAATTCCAGGGATAAATCGTTTAAAATATAGTCAGTACCCAATAGAACATGTCCTCAGGACCCCCATCTTTTGAGAAGAAGCCTTTCCTTTCAGACATCCTCGGAATTTAAAGGATTTAATCTAACTGGGTATCAGTTTGGTTGAAGAATGAAGCTGTGTCTAGGGTTTTTAAGATCATTCAATGACCGGAATGACCTCAGTAAAATAAAAAAATCTTAACCATGTAAGCTCTTGTTGAAATAATTCAGGTAGAGATAGCTCTTTCTACATCTGAAATCACATCAACGCATTATACTCGGAATACAGATGGCGGCATTTTATACCTGGCAGGTAAGTGCATTAACCTTTACGTAAA